TAGTGGAGAGAGCGGCTAGTTTGGAAATCTGCCACATGGAGGTGATAGCCACTAAAAAGGCTACTTTGAGTGATAAGAATCTCAACTCACATGTTTTGAGGGGTTCAAAGGGCGGATTGGTAAGAGCCCGCAATACTCTCGGTAATTCCCAGGAGGGATATCTGTGGACTACAGGAGACTTGGTGTTGGTAGCACCCTTGATGAATGATCGGATCAAGGATGGTGACCCAGGGAAGTTGCAGATTCGCATGTAAGGATGGTGGACAAAGCAGCAATCTGTCTGAGTAGTGTGTTTGGAGCCAGACCCCTCTCCAGACCCTCCAGGAGGTAGTCCAATATGTGAGGAATTGTCAGATCTGACAATGTCAGGTGGTGCCTTGAGCACCATGAACAGAAATTTCTCCACGTGGCCTCATAAATCCGATTGGTAGAGGCCCGACGGGAGGCCTGGATTATAGAAATGACTCCAGACGAGCAGTGCTCCTGAGCTAAAACTGAGCTCTCAAGTGCCATACGGCTAACAGTAGCCATTGTGGGTCTGGATGAAGTAGTGTCCCTTGACTGAGCGAGACCCTGTCCAGAGGAATCCTCCACAGATCCGCTAATGAGAGGTTCACTAAGTCGGCGAACCACGGTCTCTGAGGCCAGTACGGTGCCACTAGGAGAACTTCCGCCCTTTCTCTAAGGATCTTGCATATGACCGCCAGGAGAAGGGAGAGAGGAGGGAAGGCGTAAAGTAAACCCTCCGGCCACGGACTCCGTAGAGCGTCCGTGCACTCTGCCCCCGGGCATGGGAAACGGGAGAAGAACCTCAGTACCTGAGTGTTTGACAGGGAGGCGAAGAGGTCTAGAATTGGAAGTCCGAATCTGTGGGATATTTCCCTGAAAATTCTCGGGTGCAGGCACCACTCTGAGTGGTTTACCGTCATTCTGCTGAGGAGATCTGCTTGAGTGTTTGCCTCCCCTGATATGTGATCTGCCTTGATGGAGGCCAGATTTGCCTCCGCCCAAGAACCCAGAAGGAGAGCCTCAGTAAGGAGGGCACGGGATCGAGTGCCCCCTTGCCGATTCACATGGGCCTTGGCCGCAATGTTGTCCGTGAGGACCAGTATGTGACGTTTCGCTACCGAGTTGTGAAAGTGTCGAAGGGCCAGGTGTATGGCCCTGAGCTCCAACCAGCTTATATTGTGTCGAAGGTTGGACCGGGACTAATGGCCTTGGGCCCACTGTGATTGTAGGTGCGCACCCCAACCAAATAGACTGGCGTTGGTTGTCAGAGTTATTCGGTCCAGTTCCTTGAATGAGGACCCTCTGAGTATGGCCAATGAGAGCCACCCATCTGAGGGAGAGCGACACTCTGAGTGGAATTCGCACTTTCCGAATTGACGGTTCTGTCTCTGGAAAGGGAGCAGAAACCACTGAAGTGTCCTGGAATGGAGCCTGGCCCAAGGAACGATGGCAATGGCTGATATCAATTTCCCCAGTAATTGGGAGAGACTTGCTATTGTTGCCATGCCGCTCCCGCATATTTGTAGGACCAACTGACATATGCTGTCCCGACGTTCTTGGGATAGAAAGACACGACAGTCGACCGTGTCTATGATGGCCCCTAGGTGTAATAGCAAGTGACAAGTGACTCTTTGAAAAATTCACTGAAAACCCGTGATTTTGGAGAAGGTTGATTACCCTTTCTAGATCCGTCAGAGCAGCTTGTCCTCATGATGACTGAATCAGAATGTTATCCAGGTAACACTGGATCCTGACAGGCACCATCTGGAGGTGAGCTGCTAGCACAGCGAGGACCTTGGTAAAAACCCTTGGGGCCGAGGATAGACCGAAAGGTAACACCCTGTAATGGTAGTGTCTGCCCCTGTAAGCAAACTGTAGAAACCAGCGGTGGCTGAGAGAGATGGGGATGTGAAGATAAGCTTCTGGGAGATCTACGGACATCAGAAACTCTCCTCTTCTTATGCTTCCGAGAATTGACTGGAGCATTTGCATCTTGAATTTTCTGTAAACAAGATGCCGGTTCAGTCTTTTTAGATCTAGGATTGCTCTCCATCCTCCCGAGGCTTTGGGAATGACGAAGAGGATGGGGTAGAATCCCCGACCTCTCTGATCCAACGGTACCGGTTCTATGGCCCTTATGTTTACGAGATGCTGAATGGCCTGTTGCATCAACCTTTTCTTTGTGAGATTCCTTAATTGGGGACAAGAGAGGAAGTGTTTCGGAGGGTAGGTGAGGAATTCTAGGGAGAGCTCATGACGAACCATGTTCAACACCCATACGTCTGTGGTGGTGACCTCCCACTGGCTGGCAAAGAGAGAAAGTCTACCGCCTATGGGAGAGACCGCCGGAGAGTCATCTGGAACGATGGAAAGGCCAACCGCTCCCACAAAAGGGCCGTTTGCCCTGAAATTGTTGTCTGGGCTTAGAGCCCATTCTGTCTGATTGTCTGTCCTGTCTAACAGGAAAGGAGCGGGGCAGACAGGAATAATCCTAGTCCCTGAACAAAAGGACTGCCTCCGTGAGTATGTGTTGGATCTTTTGTCCGGACGTTTAATAAGGTGATTGAGGACCTTACGCTTATCCTTATTCTCTGTAAGGTAAGGATCTAAAGCTTCGCCAAACAGCTTCCCTCCCGGTAAGGGGCTGCGGACAGGCACCATTTGGACCTGGTGTCTGCATGCCAGTGTTTCAGCCAAAGCATATGACGTCCAGTAATGTTGGAAGCCATGGCCCTGGCTGAAAATCTGGCCACCTGCAGTGTTGCATCGGAAGCATATTCCGTTGCTGCCACCAATTTGCTCAAATTGCAAATTTTATCACTGCCACTCAGGATGGGAAGGGTACCCGGGGATTCTCACTGTTTCCTGATCGCATTCAGAAACATAGAAGGACATGGTATGCAGTGTTGTGTGGTTACCAGTTCAATGAAGTTCGGATCCGCCTCCGAGTCCGGAGCTGCAGTCGAATTTGATGTAGAAGGCTCGGGACCAAGATGGGCCGTGGAAGTGGCCTTTCGGAGCAAGGGAACAAAATGAGATGAATTAAAGAGACCCATAAAGGATGGCATTTCAGGAGGTTTATCCTCCTGATCCGACATCGGAATCCCCACATCATACTCACGAAAGGATGAACCCTCAGAGTAAGAAGATTGTGAAGGTGAAGTAGGTGCACCATATGCCTCCGTCATTGGCTGGTAAGGGAGAAACCGAGGTAGCCCTAGGTACCTGAGATCTAGCCTGAAAGGCACGCTCTACCACCTGAGCAATCAACTCATTTAGACGGTCCTCAGTGGGCAGAGGGACCGGCTCTGGTAGTCTGAGTCCAGACGCTGTGAGGGTAAAAGTGACTTCTGGGGTGGACTGCAGAGTCCGCTGAGCCACAGGCTGCAAGATGTGTTCTCGATGAGATGAATCACTGGTAGAGTGATAAAGACTGTGTCTCCTGTGGACCAGATTCCCAGAGGGGAAGTGGAGGGTCCCATGGTAAATCAAATGAAGGAACTTCAGCCTGAGTGGTTTCAGTCCTGGTCTGTTCTTGGGCTTTAGAGAATACCCTCTCTAATGCCCGGTGTCTCCTACTGGCCTGTCTTTCCTCCTTTTTAGATGTTTTTCCTGCAGATCTAGCCTTGGTTTTAGCCTTGGCTGAAATCTTACCTGTCACCTCTTGGTTGGAAGATTTCTGTTGTTTAGAGGCTGATGAAAGAGGTGAAAGTCCCTTCTTGGAAGAGCCAGATTCTTCCATCTTTGTGGATTATCATAGAAGCACGATTGGGTACTCCTGGTATCCAGAGGCAGCTGTTTGTCTACTCTGGATAAACACAGGAGCATGATAGGGTACCTCTGGAATCCAGAGACAGCTGTTATTGTCTACTTGGATAATCACAGATGCACGATAGGGTACACCTGGTATCCAAGGACAGTTAATTTGTGGATAGCACAGGTGCACGATAGGGTACACCTGGTATCCAAAGATTGCCAATTAGTGGATAACACAGGTGCACGATGGGGTACACCTGGTATCCAGGGACTACTAATTTATGGATAACACAGGTCCATGATAGGGTACACCTGATATCCAAGGACTGCTGATATATCGTTTAACACAGGTACACAGGTACACAGGAGCATGATAGGGTACCTCTGGAATCCAGAGACAGCTGTTATTGTCTACTTGGATAATCACAGATGCACGATAGGGTACACCTGGTAACCAATGACTATTAATTTGTAGATAACACAGGTGCACGATGAGGTACACCTGGTATCCAGGGACTACCAATTAATGGATAACACAGGTGCACGATAGGGTACACCTGGAATCCAGAAACTGCTATTTTGTGGGTAAACCCAGATGCACGAAAAGGTACACCTGGAATTCAATGCTGCTATACAGGGAGAGTCCAGGACCTACTGTGTATGTAAATAATACTGAGTGTATATGAGGAGACACCAGTTCAAATTCTGCTAGAACAGTGGTTCTCAACCTGTGGGTCAGGACCCCATTTGGGGTCGAACGACCATTTCACGGGGGTCGTCAAACAACGCAGTCCGCCAGTTTTTTCCCCTTTTCCTTAGCTGTGCTACTCCCTTTTATTCTATTGGCTTTTGAAAGCCAATAGAATACTCTCTTGAATAGAGTCTAATTCTATTGGTTTTCAAAAGTCAATAGGAATTGTCCAGGCTGTCTCTGCCCTGCTGAGCCCGCCAAAAGTCCCCTTCTGCAAATGGTGCTGCACCAGTTGAGTAGTCCTCGACTTACAATCGGTTGAATAGTCCTCGACTTACGACCAGTTGGGGGTCGCGGCATTAAAAAGGTTGAGAACCACTGTGCTAGAAGGAGAATGTTACTAACTGAATAACTGTTTTGAAAAAGGATTCAGTGCAGGCTCCAACAAAAAAAAACGTTAATCATGAAAAGAACTGTTAGTTCTCAAAATGGATTCAAGATGGCTGCCGATGTGAAAATGAAACTCACTGAGACTGTTCAACAATAGAGAATGGTGTTCATATCCACAAAATGGCGGACACAATTCTTAATAATTATTTTGCCACCACTATACATCTCTGAGCCTCCCTATAGGATCCAGAGAACTCCTCCAATGAGAAAAACACTAAAGAACTTCAACGGAGCAGTCAAAGCCTCCAAAAAGCAAATGGAGCTCGCCTGCATCTGCCACACTGCTTAGCCGCCTAATTGAACCATCAGCCAGCTGATTCGATGAAAAAAAACCCCTTCGGAGCAGCGTGTGCTCAGCCAGCAACAGGGGCTGCAATAGGGAAGCGACGATCCCTCAGCCTCCCAGAACAGCAAGGACAGCCTGTAAATAACGAAAAAAGACAAAAAACCCCAGCGTTTTAAACTGCTGATAAGCCTGCCTGCTGATTAGCACTTCCACCCCACCCCCCTTGAATCGTAATTCTTGGAGCTGCGTTCCAGACCCCAATCAGGGAAGGAAACTAAAGCAAAATAGAAAGGACAACTATAGTTGTTCCTGGAGAAATTATTAAATGGAACTGAATTTAATAGGAATCCAACAGAGAAGGTTAGAGAGGATAGAAGAAAACGAAACTGAAAGACAACGAAACGTAGAAAGAGAAGCTGATCCCAGCCTCACTTTAAGATTAAGAGGGGAAGGAGGGGGATTGAAATAAACAGCAATCTAACCCTAGTGCTGAGCCCAGCACTGATCAGAAAACTATTTAAAGTCAAGGAAAGATGGAAAATCCACCAATGAAGACTATACCTGCCTAAGAGCCAAACTTGCACGTCTGTTCATGACCAAGATCAAGTCAAGACTGGGACCTTCTAGCCCAGGAGAGGCGTGACAACTTTGGCTGACTTGATCTGATTGGGCAGGAACACAATCTAAATCCATTGGTGGATTCTCCATCTCCAGTGCTGGAGAAGGTGACCCTTTGAAAGCTGTATGCAACAAAATTTCATTTTAATGTATGCCGATTAGTATATATTCAAAGTGACAATAAAGTTAATATTCTATTATATTGTAATCCATGGGTCATCAGAAACAGAAAAACTAAAAATGCAATTTTAGTTTATAGTTGCAAATAGGTTTCAAATGTAACTTACAGTTGTCCATCCAAAATATTATAGGTGGTGGTAACCCTGCTGGTGGCCTGCAGGGAAGAATTGCATATTGACCTTCAGTAATTCTTACTGGAACTAGCTTTTCTTTAGTCCACAAAGGAGATCCTACACGGAACACAAAATACCGTCATTTAATCTTAGAATGAAAAGAAATAACCAGGAAAGAAAAATACTGTTATATAGTATAAATGTCAGACAAAATGAAAATTGTATTTAATTTTTAAATACAAGTTAACAAACAAACTGGTATTCTTTCTTAGGTAGGATTTTGATTTTGCTGAGTGTTATAACCTGAAAGCAAGCATTTCAAACATAGAGGGAAAACTATTTGCAAGAACTGAAGAGAAATAAAAGTTTCATTAATATTAAACTTACGGGATGCTCTTATAACAATATTATTGGAAATTGCTGCTCCAAGCACATTTCTTGCTGTACACTGATAGATGCCTTCATATAATTCTGCTTTTCCTCCACTTTCTTCATTAATAATATTTATTAAAAGAGTCCCTGAGTGAGGCTTCATTCTTATTCGTGGATCTTTTTCTATATCAAAGTGAGTTCCATTACGTGTCCATGAAAAGCTATCAATAAAATAAAAACACTGAAAAAGTTCTTTATTAAAAAACCACTTGTTTTAAGAGAATGTATAAGTTATAACAGTATAAAGCCAATATAAATAATAATAATAATAATAGTAGTAGTAGTAGTAGTAGTAGTAGTAGTAGTAGTAGTAGTAGGATAGCCAATTAAACATGTGAGAAGCAAAGATAACAATTTTCTTAAAACACTTATCTCTATTTAATCCTTTTTACTTTTCTTTTCATTTTCTCAAATAACAAAAAAGTTGATTATGGGCCACCACATAGACTTCCATATCTTGAAGGCTTATAAACTGGTTCATAATCATTGATATATCTGATTAAAGAGTAAAAATTCTTAAGAAATTTGTTATATTCTTATTATTACAATAGTTTGCCTCTTCAGAAACTTTGTGATTCTTCTACTAAGATATCAATCCTTTTTCCTGGAATTCATATATTCTTTTCAGAATTACTTTGTCTTCTCCTCTGACATTTGTAATTTATCCACTCTAATTAGGAAGTTATAGTTTCTTAACTTCTTTATTTTTAAAGTAAGTAGAATCACCCCTTACCGCCTGCTATTTATAAATTGTGAAAAGGAAAACCTTTGAATTTTTTTTAGCATACTATATTTTTAGCAAAGTAAAATTAAAAATAATGAACATGCTGTGTAATTTTTTTTACATATACAGTAGGACAGTATATGGTATGACCTGATTAACTGCTTTCTCCATATACAGCAGCTACATCATTAAGATGCACTTGGGATGATGCTTATTTGCTCTAAATTATAACACAACTTAAGAAAGCATGTTCTCAATGCTCATATCCCAAGTATGATTGAACAGAGATAAATTTTAGATAAGTTAACAGCACATTCAATCAGAGCAGTGTGATGCGTATAGTGGTACCACAAAATCTGATCAAACTTAGTCCAACATACTGAATCCAATGACAGGTTCAATCATCTCCTCCCCTTCTGAATATGGAATATAAGAATCCAGCACGGATACAATATTCTATTAATGTATTTAGTTAGACCACAAATACTTTGGCCACTTAGATCTCAGCAATGGTTCTGGTTATGAAGGTTAATTATTTAACATTTGTGGCCTAGGCAAAACAAAATGTAGGAAATACTTTTAAAGGAAATAATATCAAAATGAAATAATTTCAGAGGCAAACTTCTGACATAACCATTTAAAAAACATCAGTTAAGTATTTATATGACTTATTTTGATCTGGAATCAAATTTATCTTTGTATCTGTAAATCATTGGGTCAACTTCATAAGATTTAGATATTAAGGCTGCAGTTATGGAAATGAGAGGAAACTGATTATCCAAACCTGCTTTTTTCAGGCATACATAAGATTGCATTATAAAAAGATAATAAACTTATGTATACAAGATAATCAATCCAGTAATCACTTAAGGCTAATGTTTTCCTTTGGCTGTATGCTATATTATAAAAAGCAATGAATGCATACAAATCTAGGACTTACGTAGGAGATGGTTTTCCTTTTGCTTCACACTGTATTACAATATTCTCTCTTGGGTCAATAATATAATCTTTTGGAGACTGCTGTGTTATTGTTGGAGGCTGTGACACTTTTTAGAGAAGGTGATCAAAGAGAAAATGGAAAAATACATTTTTATTCACTGGTTTTAAATTCCTCTTTCCCTTCAAGAACTCAAGGTGGCAAATAGAGTACTTCCTTCCCCAGCTATTTCCACAAGAACAACCCTGTGATGTGAGTTGGTTGAGAGAAAATGACTATGTCAAAGTTACCTAGGGAGCTAAAGATGGACTTGAACCTGAATCCCCTCAATCCTAATTTTACAAATTAATCATCTCCCTAAAGTGGCTGAATAATAGTAAAGTTAATTGCAAACATTTAATGTATTAAAATCATACTTAAGCCCACAAGGGAATAAGCTTTTCTCAAAAGAACATTATCATTACATGGCTGTAGAACTGCATTCTAATGTACGTAAAACAACTTTTTCTACATACAAAATTTTAGGCAATTTAGCTAAGCTACCAATTTATACAAGTCACCATTCCAGCACACACAAGTATTATAAACATTTGTTCTTATAAACAAAAACCACTATTTATTTCCCTTGTCAGGCAGTAACTAGTGCTATTTTGTATATTTTGAAATATATATCCAGTAACTGAATTAACTATCCAGTAAGTCATGAAAAGAACTTGATTATACCCAGGGGCCTTGGCCTGATTGTTTTGTTACAGAGAACATCTGCGTATACAAAAAAACTTGTCTACTAGAAAATTCACTGAATTTTTCATCAGTGTTCCTAACACAAAGGGAATTCAGAACATTATCAGATGCCAGGCTAGCATCTTTCCATGTTGACATTCTGGGTAAGGAATTTGGCTCAATTTGTTATTAACTATCCAGTAAATATGAGTCTGGCAATCAATTCATAAGAATGAAAAGAATTGTAGTTTTATATAACAGCAAGTTTTTACATGATGTCATATGTGAAATGAATTATTCATAACTAAGCATATTAATATAGAAAAGCTCTGATGTGAGATTGTAATTGTGAGATGAAAACTGACCTGCTTAAAGTGATTGCGCTTAGAATGCAAGGCTAATCTCTTTAAAGCACAGAAGAGTTCATTTCTATTCAGGACTGTTCCCATTGTCTCAATTCCAAATTCCAGTGATTCAGACAGCTAGTTTCTAGGACACGATCTATGTCTAAATAGTGATGGTCAACTGGAAGGGCTAAATAGTTAAAAGAGTAAGTGCATGTTCACATAGCATATTAGGGCAAATTTTGCACTAATTCCTATGAGAAAAGTATTTACTCTTTTTCTATGGATATTCTCAATCATCCAGGTCATGGTTGTCCCAAAGGTGCTTTTCCAAAAGGTCTTGCACAAGATGACATAACAAACTATAGCCTCCAGAATCTGATATTTAATGACAATTTCTATTACTATCTAAACAAACTTTAGAGAAGGTAGTCAGTATTTTCTAATCCCTACAATTTCAGCTTGGGGTAAAAAGGATTGGAATCAATCTCAGACAGCACAGAAAGGCTACTGCGCCCCCCAGTGCCTTTCTATGCCAATTTTACTCTATCCTCTATCTGCAGGGAGTAGAAACATCAGTAGGTATGGCTGATGAGGCCCATTTTATAACCTCAGGGGTTGGAAGTAAATTAGTCAATGATTGCAAATGTCATATTTATGTAATATATCTAGCAAGATGATGACGGTGTAAACCAGAGTGGGCTACTAACATATGGATAGTATTTTGCTCTCCTCAAGGAAAAGAACCTGATATTTCAAGCAAACAAACTATTAAGCCTTTTCTTTTTCTGCAGAAACAGTATTTCTTCTGAGTATGTATCGTATGATGCATGCATCTTATTGCTTAAAATACAGCTACGTGGTATGGGCTTTGGTGTGCTGGTAAGATTCATATGTATGTCATATGTATTGTGCTTAATAAAAAAACTTTAATGTGTTATATTTTAAGAAATACATCTCTTTCTTATTTTATTTGTAATATGTCTATGGAGATTCTCAATCATTCAGGTCATAGTTGTCCCTAAGGTTCTTTTCCAAAAGGCAACTGGAATTCCTTGGTTTTTTCTTTGAAAACATTTTGCTTGTCACTCAAGGAACTTCTGTTAGAATTGAAAACATTTCTTGGATGAGAAGTGAAACATTTTCAAACAAAAAAAAAAACAAGGAAATTCAGTTTATTTGTAATAAGTTATTTTACTTTAGGAAAGGAGGAAGTAAAAAAAGTATTCTATTTTCTTTGGTTTAACACTTCAAAACAGTTAATAATACATTTATATGAGTTCAGGAAAAGCAAAATTCTAATTGTTCATGCCCATCAATTAAGATAGCAAAAGGAAGAAAACTTGAGCAAATAACACACTTTGTGTACAGATGAATATTTGTTTGGAACATCAGCAACATCTTCCCCTGATACTTTGGCATTAGACCTTGTACATTTAGTGAATAAAAGATATTTTAAATAAGAAAAGTGCCTCTGGGTTTCATTTTCGAAATTGCAGTCAATTCTCTAAATCCTTCTTAAATAATGAGCACTAAATGCATTCAATCCAACTTGCTTTTTAAAATGTTTTTCTTATGAGTTTTAAAGACTATATGAATTCCTAAATGGATAGGTACATGCATTTAAAATATTAAAAATAAATATTTAAACAGTATTTAAATTCATGCCAAAATTGTTCTTGAGTATAGTTTCTACAAGCTATCATCTGTACAGAATATTAAAAATAGCAAACACAATAAAATGGTTTCAGCGCTTAAAAAATGTATTAAGTCACACACATATTTTTTTGTGCAGAACTTACATTTTTCAAGAAGTTTTGCTTTTTTCCACGTATCAGATTCAGCAAGTGAATTGTAAACATGAATTAAAGAAAATTATTTGTTAGTAAGATAGAAGTAATGAAATCTTAGAAAGAAAAGATACAGAGAAAGTATAGGAATCTATACTATAGAGCTTTTCTGACAACAGATATCAAAGTCACTTTATTAGCAAAGAATCAGCATAGACTATTTGGAACACTTGTTTAATGTTGCATTGTCAATTATGAATATTGTTTGTAACTTATATGGGATAATTAGCATTGATACAAATGCCTTGGCTGATATGGAAATAGAATTAATGGATGGCATAGCCTGTTCACTGCAAACAAAAACCAATCAATCTATAGAATTAAATGAAAGAATACATAACAGAGATGGAATGCCCTGTTGTTCATTGTGCCATTTCATTACCCTCTATTTGAGTACAAAAATCCCACATTAATATTTTAGTGAGAACCATTAGTTCATGTTACAATGGAAATTATAACTCTGTGTTTATGACATGGGCTTGAAAAATAAATTAGCCATTCTTGCCAAGGTGATAAAAAATATAAGCTTCAGCAAAGACTATACATTTTACCACTCTCTTCTGATAGCCTTTGTAATAGAATACTGGATTCTAAATACTCTAAACAGTGAGTTATAAGTACTTTAGATAATTATGTGAACTGCATGTAAAACCAGAGTAGATTTTAATGGTTCTAGATGTCTGTTCTTCCTCTGGTTGGTGTATACGTTAATTATTTTTAGAATATAGCCTTTTTTTCTAATCTCAGTGATTACTGCTTGTCAGATCCCCAAATCCCTATTATTTTCCCTGCATATATGCTCTTGTTTTGGGCCTGCCATTCTGCTGGGAAGAAGAGGGAATTTGCTTTTGCTTGGGATAACTTTCTCTTTCTACTTTTCCTCTCCCAACTCTATCCACTTGAGAAAGGAATGTGTCTCCCTTATCAGGGAGACGGTTACAGAAAAACAAAACTGGAGAAGATCTTGAGATGTGCTCCAAATGTGCCAGTTACCCACACATTGCGCCATCTGTGGATTGGCTGGATTTCAAAAGGACATTATGACTCTGGTGGGAGGAGGAATATTGCTGGTTTAACTATACCATTTTAGCGAGGTTTTCCCCAGATCTCGCCTTGAATTCCCCACTGTCACTAACCCCTAATAAAGGTTTCTTTTTGAGACAATGCCTGTTTCAAGAGTTCTGCTTTTTGGGTGGTTAGCTGAGGTGGGTCCTTACATAAGGCGAGATCTGCATAGTACTCAACCTGGAGAAGCTGCTACCCTACCAGGGGAGTTGCAACTGAATTTCACATGGAAGAGTTCCAGGCAGAGAAATGGGCCGAAGATCTCCTATGCCTGAAACCAGATGAAAGCCTCTCCAGGGACCTGGAAGAAGCCAGGCCTTCTGGCCCCCTTTTGGGCTACAAGGGGCCCCTGCAGTATTCATGCAATTGATCAACAAAGTCCTACATGATCATTTGTATAAAGGGGTTTTGGTTTACCTAAATAATATCCTTATTTACACCAAAACCAAAGATGAACACATTAAATTGGTCAGGGTAGTCCTAAAAAAGCTGTGCTCTGCCAAACTGTACACCAAACTGTCAAAGTGTGAGTTCCACAAAGATCATATTGATTACTTGGACTATCATATATCCAACAAGGGAATAGAGATGGACCCAGAGAAAGTGAGAGCGGTCTTGGACTAGGCTCCTCCAAACACCAGGAAACAGCTCCAAAGTTCCTAAGAACTTTTATAGACAATTTATTCCATCGTTTGCACTGATTGTCCTCCCAATCCCAAAGCCCAGTCAACCATTAAAATGGGCAGGAAAATGTCAAGCAGCTTTTGAGAAGGGACGTTGTCTTACCTGAATGCCTTTTCTCAGCATGTAGATGTAGTATCCACCGGTGGGTTATTTCAGCCTTCCTGCTCAGAGAGACTAAGTTTGAAGTTCAGCCACGCCTCCTTGGGGCTGTCCTTCCCCAGTTTTAACGAGGCAAAGCAAATCAGATGCAACAACTCCTCCTGCAATCACACCTGCCTAGACTGACTGTTAAGGGTGGGTGTGGATGCTACATCTACATGCTGAGAAAAGGTGTTCAGGTAAGACAACACCCCTTCTTCAGCATGCAGATGTAGCATCCACCGGTGGGACATACCAAAGCCACCCATGTCCCTGCTGGGAGGGACAGTCTAGGCATGTGTCCCCTGGGAGGAGACAACCTGCTGCAATACCTTTCTGCCAAATGAGGCTTCCGCAGCAGCAAACCTATCAAGTTTGTAATGCCTTATAAATGAAGAGGGAGAAGACCAAGTCGCTGCCCTACAAATTTCTTCAACTGAAGCTTGCATAGATCAGGCCACTGATGTGGCCGCACTGCATGTGTAATGGGCTGTGATATGTTTCGGTATAGGCAGGGATTGGGATCTATATGCATGGGAAATACATGCCCTAATCCACCTCCCTATGGTTGAGGATGAGACCTTCTTTCCCATGGAAGAGGATTGGAAAGACACAAACAGAGCCTCCAATTTGTGAAAAGTGGCAGTCCGCTTGACGTAATGTCGCAAGGCCCTGCGCAAGTCCAATTTATGCCATTGTCTCTCCAGACGATGGGTTGGATTTGGGCAAAAGTTAGGAAGGACCAAGTCTTGGGACCTATGGAACCATGTATTGACTTTCGGAATGAAAGAAGGGTCCAATCTAAGGACCACTCTGTCATCCAGAAACATACACAGATCACTTCTGACTGAGAGAGCAGCCAGTTCCGAGATACACCTAGCCGACGTGATGGCTACCAGAAAGGCAACCTTCAAAGAGAGGAAATAAAGTGAGCAAGACCCTATGGGCTCGAATGGTGTCATCGAGAGGGCTTGTAACACCTTTGGTAAATCCCATGAATGATATCGATGCACTGTGGGGGGCCTAGTGTTAATTGCCCCTTTTAGGAAAGCGGCAACTGCCGGGTGTTGAGACAGGGACTGAAAGTTGTCACACGTGAGGACCGTTGACAGGGCGGCAATCTGTCTGCGGATAGTACTATGTGAAAGATCCTTATTCAATCCCTCTAAAAGGTATTCTAAGATGTCAGGAATAGTAACCTTTAAAGGTCTAAGACTATGGGTGATACACCATTGACAAAAATTCCTCCATGTGGCGTCATAAATTCTATTAGTGGAGGGTCTCCTTGAGGCTTGTATCATGGATATGACCTCCGATGAATAGGACTGTCTGACTAAACTCTGCCGCTCAAGTGCCAAGTGGCTAGTTGGAGCCACTGGGGATCTGGATGTTGGAGATTCCCTTGACTGAGTGCTATGTGGCTCGGCGGAATCCTCCACGGAGGAGATACTGACAAGTCCACGAGGTCCGCAAACCACGGCCGTCTTGGCCAGTGTGGGACCGCCAAGATTACCTCCGCCTGTTCAAGAAGGACCTTGCGAATGGTAGCCTGAATGAGTGGAAGCAGGGGAAAGGCATAAAGCAGTTCCTTCGGCCACTTGCTGCGGAGGGCATCCGTTCCCTCCGCCCCCGGCGACAGGAACCTGGTGAAATACCTTGGAAGATGGGAATTTGCATCCGAGGCAAACAAATCCACCTGTAGTTGTCCGAACCACTTTGAAATTTCCAGGAACAGAGCCGGGTCCAGCCTCCATTCTGAGTGGTTGACTGTCGCTCTGCTCAGTGAATTGGCTTGGCAATTCGCCTCTCCTGATATGTGCTCCGCACAGATGGACTTCAGGTTGGACTCTGCCCACAGCCCCAGATCCAGTGTTTCCTGCATGAGGGACCATGACCAAGTCCCTCCCTGTCTGTTGACGTGTGCCTTGGCTGCTACGTTGTCCGTCATTATCAGGAAATGGTTCCCCGCCACGATCTCGGAAAAGTGATGGAGGGCTAGATGTATTGCTCTCAACTCTAGCCAATTTATATTGTGTCTGAGATCTGATTGAGACCATTGACCCTGTGCCATGTGTATCTGGAGATGTGCCCCCCAGCCAAATAGGCTGGCATCCGTGGTCAGCTTGAATCTGGGAGATTCCTTGAATAGGGACCCCCTGTTCAATGCCAACGACGTCCACCATAGGAAGGACGACAGGATGTGGTGTGGCACTCTCACCTTCCTTGTTGAGGCACTCACGTTCCATCTCTGGAAGGGTAGAAGGAACCACTGGAGGCCTCTAGAGTGCAGTCTGTCCCATGGAACAATGTCCAGACAGGACACCATCTTGCCCAACAGCTGAGACAACTGGATGAGACTACCTTCTCTCTCCGGATCCTTAGACGAGCGACCTGATGCTGTCCTTGCATTCCTGAGAGAGATAAACCTTGCACAGGACAGAATCTATTATAGTCCCTAGGTGGAGGATTCGAGTGGAAGGGACTATGTGACTCTTTTTGAAGTTTATCTAGAATCCGTGTGCCTGCATTGTCTCTATTGTGATCTGTAGGTCCAATTGGGTGGAATGGAAAGATCTGGATAGGATGATTATATCATCCAGGTAACATTGTACGCGCACCGGCACCAATCTGAGGTGGGCTGCTATCACTGCCAATATTTTTGTGAATACCCGAGGAGCCGAAGAGAGGCGGAAGAGTAGTGCTCTGTATTGGTAATGCCGGTGCGCATAACAAAACCAGAGGAATTTGCGGTGTTGTGGGAGGATGGGAATGTGAAGATACGCTTTGGTCAAATCTATCGAGGAGAGAAAATCCCCTTTTCTGATGCTGGCCAGAATTGATTTGAGGGATTGCATTTTGAATCTCCTGTAGGCTAGGAAGTAATTTAGCCCCTTTAGATCTAGAATCGCCCTCCAACCTCCCAAGGCCTTTGGAACTACGAATAGTAGTACCCCTTTCCTATCTGATCCCTTGGTACCGGTTCTATGGCCTCTATGTGTAGTAGATGAGATAGTTTTGAGCGTTTCTTGAGGTGGGGCACTGAATGAAGTGGTCTGACAGAATGGAGAGGAACTCTAAAGCAA